GTCTACAAGATAAGGGCAAACCAAGGTTGTTTTAATTCCATCCTTTTCAGCAGCCTTTAGTTCATGGCTCAGGGATTCATGAAAACCCACAACTCCAAATTTACTGGCACAGTAATCCTGAGTTAGAGAGGGGACAAAGCAGAAATACTAAGTATATGCCCCTAATACCAACCAAACTGAAGCTTCCCTGGTCCTATTACTATGGTTAAATGTATAATACATAGGGTTACAGGTGACTACACAAAGACAAGAAAATCTTTTTAAAAGACAGATACGTGGCTGGGCACAGTGGCTGATGCCTGTAATCCCAGCACTTTGGAAGGCTGAGGCGGCTGGATCACTTGAGGTCAGGAGTTCGAGACCAGCCTGGCCAAAATGGTGAAACCCCGCCTCTACTAAAAATACAAAAATTAGCCGGGCGTGGTGGGCACATGCCTGCAGTCCCAGCTACACAAAAGGCTGAGGCAGGAGAATCGCTTGAACCTGGGAGGCTGGGGTGGCAGTAAGCCGAGATTACACCACTGCACTCTAGCCTAGGTGAGAGTGAGACTCTATCTTGAAAAAAAAAAAAAAAAAAAAAAAAAAAAAGACAGATACCTGATGTGGTTCAGTGCAGAAATAATATTTTCAAAGCAACAGCAGAAACAGATGAATACTTTTTGCCACATCAACTAAGTATCATATTACTTTGGGTACGTTAAGTATTCTATGAAAGCTAATGACCTGAAGTTAAAATGGAGAGAGGTTGACTTTGAAGTGTCTGGAAAATTTACAAATGGTCTCCTGTTCAGTAAAGAAGAAAGAAAAACCAGTTTGTTTAAATTAATGCAAGAAGAACAAAGGCAAATCTAGCTTAGGCTATAAATTGTTATGATTTGACTTTCTTTTTATGGTGAAGTTAAAATGAAAATGATAACCATGCCTTGTAATCAAACTAGAACTGAACTTAAGGGCACACAATATAGAAAAAAATTTCTTTGTCCATGGCCCAACTTTAGAAATGAATCCCTTGATATAGCTGCTATTTAAATAATGTATTCTTTTGCATATTTGCATGGAGAGATGTTTCAGTTTTACAGGCATGCATAGGACAAACAGGATAGACCAATATACATAAACATGCTTTATAATTTGAATATGGTGAAGAACAAGGTTTGATGAAACCCAATTCTATAATTCTACAAACTTAAAATGCAGGATACCTGACCACCTCATCTGATAGGCTAATTAATACAAGATAGCTCAATTTTGGCAAGGTGACCACAACCGAATCTGAACCTCTGGCCTCATTCTTCTGTTCCCTGCAGCCTTCCATGGTTCCATTCTTGGCCCTGTGCCTTCCGCCACCGTCAAGTGAAGCTGCTAATGAAAACTGGCACACTGAGGGCTGGCCCATCTACTTCTCTTGTTGCTGCTCCTTTGTCAAACTAGTGTTAGAGATTTTATTGCAGATGATGTAGAAGTCCATTCCCTTTTTTTGTTTTGTTTTAGAGATAGGGTCTTGCTCTGTCTCCCAGGCTGGAATGCAGTGGTGCCATCATAGCTCACTGCAGTCTTGAACACCTGGGCTCAGGCGATTCTCCCTCCTCAGCCTCCCAAGTAGCTAGGACTACAGGTGTGCACCACCACAACTGGCTTAGAATTCCATTCTAGTGGCTGGCCCTGGGTTCCTCTGGAACATCCTACATGCGGCACACACGCAGAGCACCTTCATGCAGCTTTCATGAATGGAGGGGCAGCAGGTGCTCTCCTGGAGGTTCTGATGTACTTATCACAGGATAAACAGATTGAATGAAAGCAATGCCACGTATCTGACAAACCTCAACTCCGGCAGTACTGAACAATCCCAAGGAACTTGCAACTGTCACAATATGACCATGATTAATCTCCAGCATCGTAGGAAGAAAAGCCTTAGTGGTCTGAAACAAAGTAAGAGTCAAGTTTTAGAACTGATATCATGAATTTCACCTAACACAATCCCGGATCACAAAACAAATTTTTAGCCACATGATGTCACGTTTTCCAATTCCTTTAAAGATATTTTACATTTATCAAAAATAAGATCTTTTAAGTGTCTGGCTAACTTAGCAGGGTATCATTGGCATGGCAGGCCTATTATAAGTTGTGACCAACAAGACTGTAACATAAGAGCTTTTGGGGACAGTGTCTAGAGATGAAGAGAGCTATTGGCAGAAGGTTCTTAATCACCTTTCAAGTACAGTTATCTGCTAATTTAAAGTACTCCCAGGCCAGAGATTTGTTTCTTCTCATTGACACTTCAGTGCAGCTATCTCATGGTTTGTGAAGGACCACAGCCTGCTACAAACAGGTGCCTTGTATTAATGTGTGCCTTATGGTGACGTCTACTTAGTAATAGACCCATCAATGAAGAGATACTCCAGCAGCGTGCTCTAGGGTCCCAAGGCTTATTACCAAAGTGTACTAGCAGGAGACAAAGTATTTTAGGATGTAAAAAACAGGGTAAATTATAGAACTATTTTTGTGAAAAACATATCATAATACTAACTGTGCACTGAAAAGAACGTGTGTCATTCTGAACAGTCACACTCCAATATGGGTTTCACTGCAGGGACTCTGCCACAGATGCAGGTGACTGGCCACACAGGGAGGCAGAGAGTGTAGCACAAAATCAGAGGTGGCACTGATTTCTTATTCACTAAACTCTTTCCTCTCTAGCTTGCTTGCCTACAAAATACAAGGCTGTATCAAAAAAAATTCATTTAAATTGCTTATGATGATCTATTAACTACCCTACCAGGCTCCCAACAGTTTTATAACCTGCTTCTTAAAAGAAAGCAGCAAAGAGCAATCTGTCTACTGCTGAATTATCTCCTACTGCCAGCACAACTTCCCATGATTTATGAAGTTAAAAAAACCCACACAACTAAACACTACAGAGCAGACTTAAAGAAGACCTGCATTCCCGTCTCTTAGGATTTGCTGGCTAAGGATGTCACTGAGTTTTTGCATGAATCTAATTTGGGTTTGTAGTTTCTTTTGGCGGGGGGAGAGGGTGGAGAGACAGGGTTTTGCAGTGTTGCCCAGGTTGGAGTACAATGGCATAATTATAGCTCACTACAGCCTCTAACACCTGGGCTCAAGTGATCCTTCTGACTCAGCCTCCCGAGTAGCCAGGACTACCTGTGTGTGTCACCATGTGTAGCTAATTTTTAATTGCTTTTAGAGAAGGGGGTCTCACTATGTTGCCCAGGACAGTCTTGAACTTCTAGGTTGAAGTGATCCTCCCATTTCGGCCTCCTAAAGTGCTGGGATTACAGGCATGAGCTACTGCCCTTGCCCCTATCTAATTTGTTATAATTTTTGTATGTAAAGATCAAAAACACAAATTCCATTGATTCTGACATTTTTCTGTGCTCCCATCAATTATTCATACAGGTGCCACAAGAATCTTTCGTGAAGTATCCCAAGGTCTTTCCCAGACACAATGTAGCACCCCACCTCAACTCACACTGTCTGAGTTTCCTCACCAGTACCCATGAAATGCTTTTTCTCACCTGTGTCTTTTGACGTATGAACTCTTCTGATAATCTACCCCAAACCCTTCCTATGTAAATCAAAGAGTAATATTCACCATGTATTTATATAGTCTGTCATACTTTTCAAAGTGCTTCATGTTGCTGGAGTCTCCTAATAATTCTTTATTGAAGGTAGTTAGGGTGTTAAGCCTTTATCTAATATTATGCTAGGGCAGCCTCACTTTGTCTATATTACTCTAAGATGTTTAGTCAGTGGTTACTGCCATTCACCTTGACACATGATTATATGTTTTATGGTATTTTTTGATTGTCTTATACTTATTTGTCTGACTGTCCTAGACTAAGTTGGAAGACCCAGATCAGTCTTCCAAGTACTAACGGAGAATTACTTTGCTACACTGAGACAGGCACTGTGGAGGAGAGCTAGTGATACAGTTTGGATATCTCATCTCAACTGTAATCCGCAATGTTGGAGGTATGGCCTGGTGGGAGGTGACCGGATCACAGGAGTGATCTTTCATGTATGGTTCAGCAACATGTCCTGGTACTGTTCTAGTGATAATGAGTGAGTTCTTGCGAGATCGGGTTGTTTAAATGTGCGCAGGCCCCATCCCCTCACTTCCTTCTGCTTCATGAGCTGCTGCACCCCCTCTCCCTTCCACGGTGATTGAAAGCTCCCTGAAGCTTCCCCAGAAATGGAGCAGAAACCTCTATGTTCCTGTACAGCCCCAGAACTCTGAGCCAATTAAACCTCTTTTCTTTATAAACTACCTAGTCTCACGTATTTCTGTATGGCAGTAGGAAAACAGACTAATACAGCAAATGAACGCGCTTCTCATTACTGCATTGCCCTAGTACACTGCTGAGGAAGAGAGACACATGTTTCGGCTTGACTGTATTTCTTTGTAGCAGTAAAAACAGAAAGAGTAATTATGACAGTAATTATTATTTTGATCTGTTACCAAAAAAGTAAAAAACTGGTACTTCAGGTTATTATGGGTTCAACTTTAGGCTCTGTAAGTTATGTGTGGGTATTATATCACAGAATTGAAATAAAGTAACATCACAATGGAGTTTATATGTTCCAATCTAAACTAGAAAATAGCTGTGCACAGTGGCTTACACTTGTGATCCCCAAGCTTTGGGGGAGGCTAAGGTGGGAGGATCACTTGAGTCCAGGACCTGTCTAGGAAACATGGTGAAACCTGCCTCTACAAAAGATACAAAAAAATGAGCTGAGCATGGTGGTGTGTGCCTGTAGTATCAGCTATTTGGGAGCCTGGGGTGGACAGATTGCTTGAGCCCGGGAAGTTGAGGCTGCAGTAAGCCATGATTATGTTACTGCACTCTAGCCTAGGTGACAGAACAAGACTCTGGCTCAAAAAAAAAAAAAACTAGAAAACATATCCTTAAGTAATCAAGCCTCTATGTCTTTTTAAAAATATCTAGTTATAATTAATTGTTCCCAGATTAGCTAAAAAGTATAAAACATATTCTTTCTTGGAGTATATTTGAATTCAGGTTGCTAAAAAACAAACAACAAAACATATTCTTGACATTAACCAGAGAGCATTTTTAAGTAGCGAAAATTTGCCTAGTCTTGGAAGACAGTGATAAATTTAACCTAAAGGGTCTTAGTTATCTTTCTGTTTAAAAGTTAAAGTATAAGGACTCAAATATTAAATCCTAAGAATTACATCCAATATCAAATTCCCTACTGGATGTCTCATGGGAAAACCAAAACAAACAAACAAACAAACAAAAAATATCAAATTCCTATTAGAACCTGCCAATGGTTACCTGACAAATCTGAATCACTCGCTCACGTGTCCACTTTAACTCGAGCCAGTGGCTGGCTCTGACTAGAAACTCAGACACCACAGCAGGTTGGCTCTCATGACTTCCCTGTATTCATGTGCTCTGGTCTTGCCTGCAGGTGTTAAATGACTACCAGATCCCCAGCACCATATCAAGGTAGGTGACAGAAGATTAACAAGTTCCTAACTGTTCTTTAAGTGCAATTTGTTGCAAGGTTCTGAAACTGATTAATGTCTCCTCCCCTTTTTGCCCTGAAATGAATTGGTGGTATTAACTTACATAAAATAGTTCCAGTTTGTCCATAAGAAGGGTACCTTGGCTGCATATTCCAAAAAATGTGATTTGGGGAAACACTTCCCGCTGTGGGACCCCCCCGTGGGACCCTCCCCCCACCCCCAAGTTGTTTGAAGAGGAGTTAAGTTACTGCTTTAAAGGAAAAGGAAACAAAAAAAGGCGATGAGGAGAGACAGAGAGAGAGGAGGCAGGTAGGGAGAGGAAGGGAGAAAGAGAAACCAAACAATCCAGGTATGGCTATGTGAATAAAATCTTTTCCAATTGTGGGCTATAAAGATTTGGGGAACTATGTTCCAACTTTAAACACTAAAGTATGACACAGGTTAGCTGGTTGTAATATGAAGCTTTCTTTTGAGAGGGAGATTATTTGTTTTGCTTTGTAAGCACAGGTGGGTCAATATTCAGCTTAAAACATGTGATTTCTTTGCCTAATCAAGGACACATTTGGCCTTCTGTATAAATTAAATCTAATGTATCTTTGCATTTTCTATATTTTCAGACAGACCCATGTTCTTTATTTGAAAGGCTCGCCAATTACAGGCAACACTGCAATTACTGTAAGAACAACTCACAACACAACAACCACCAAAGAGCTGTGGAGGGAACTGAGAGACTAAGAAAGCTATCCAGCGCAGCTAATCAGAGATCCCAGAGGGCTTGTTTCTAAAGCTGGTGTCAAACGTTTATTCAGCTCTGCTCTGCGTCGGGCAAAGGCAGAGGCTTGGGGTGGGAGCACCCACATGAGGACCACTTGGGTTTCTTTTAAGCCTCTGCTCAGGTTCCTGCTGGAGCCCAGTACATGTGACTGAGCACGAAGGCTGTTAATCATTTCCTTTGCTGCCTGAATAGAGGCAAGCAATTACTCCAAACTCCTGCCTTATGTCTGGGGCACATTATTAAACAAACTTTGATCAACATGAATTCTATTCCATACTTTGCAAGAAAAATGCTATAGTTGGGTGACTAGAAAGCATCACATTTTCAGGAATTTTCCCAAGTAACCTGACTAGTTTTCTTTTCTAATTACTCTTGCCCTCAACAGTCTGGTAGATGACATTTGAGATAGCACAGCATATTCTGTCCTTGACACTGCTTGACAGCACAAAGAAATCTGGCACTTTGCAATGAATTATTAATGTGCACAAATATTGTAGCATGTATGAGGTAGAGACCAGCAAAAGGTGAAGTGCTAGTTGCCATGACACCAGTCAGTTCAAGCAAAGGTTCATAATCTTTAACTTTGTCTCAAAGAGTCGTCAGAAGAACATAAAGGGCAAATCTGAAACGCACACCCAAATGGCTTAGGTATAAATTCGTGCCTGTGAGGCATGGGCAGATCTCAGAGAGCAGCACGGATAGTTTGCTGACCAACAGGACTGCTGTGTTACATCAACTATAAGGATGGTCTGTGTAGCTCAGGAGTTATCACCTAGCAAAGGGGTCGCTAAAGGCAGTACATATGATCAGTCTCCAGAGCAAGCTGGTGCCCATGCTGGTTGGCAAGATTTCCTAGATGCTAAACGTAAGTCAGAGAATTGTACTCTATTCCTGTGTCCTCTTGACTGTCTAAATACAGAAGAGGACATCAAGCTCTTCATCAAGAAAATATGGTTGACTCTTGATCTAGGGGGTCTCAAAGTCAGTAACCAATATGTGAACCAGGAAGTTTATAGAATTTTGAGTTGGAAGGGCCTAGGGATTTTCTTATTTGCAAAAGAGAAAACTTTCAATAACTGACTTTGGTTATTAAAAGTGGAGCTAGAACTGATTACTATGATTACTTTGATCACAAGATTCCAATACCATAATCTGCTACCAGCTGACAGGATTTCTGTATGATTAAAAAGAGAAAAAGAAGAAAAGGAAGGACATTCAAATGGACACTGACATTCCTATGAAACATGCTTAACAAGTCTAATATCTCCTTAGCTCCTCAGGGTTCCTCTTCAAAGCACTGGGCCCTTTGAAAGATAACTGTAAAGGTCACATTTGTAATATAAGCAAGAACTTCTTAAATAGACATGTAAGTAACTGCACATAGACATGACATGTCATAGCTCGAGAAATCTTTTAAAGTAAAGTTTACGCCAAATTAACTTCCAACAGCTCCGACTCTCCAGACCATTCTTGGTACTCTTAATGACAGACTGTGCAGCCCAGAGCCTGCAGCTGCAGTGTCAGGACAAATTAGCCTAAAGTGAAACAAAAGTCAATGTGAAGAAATGTGGTATCCGGCAAGGTCTGACTTTTGAAATTCTGAGATTGACGACATTTTAAAGGTGTAGGTGAAACAGAATGTGTTTTCCATATTTGTAAGCTATTCTAGGTTCCTGAGCACTAAGAGGAAAACAAAGTTAATTTCTCACAGTAGGAGAAGGCCTCATTATTTCTGTGCGCATACATGACTGTCCTGTGATCAATTCAAGAAAAGGCATCTTTTAAAAGAATCATTTTTAAGTGTTTAACTCTTATTTGCAATGTAAGAAGGAGAGTAGACATTCATCTCCAAAGAGGACCATAAATCATCTAACGCTGGGAAAAGGATCAACGCCACCAGCACGGTACAGTTTTCTCATGTATGCTTAAGGATTTTCAGAATCCCCAAATAATAGCATGATATAAACTTTGAGTGAAAAAGAACACCACCAAGACTCCAGTAAACAAAGAATGTCTGTCCGGAAATGCTCATGGCACCCTTCACATGGTTGGACAACTCTCCTCTGCTGTTCCACCCCTTCTGCCTGTGTGGCTGCCAGAGTTAACTTATCTTTATCAGAATCACAAAGGAACACTCTCCGTTATTTACAAGGCTAAAATGACATCTGGTGGTGCTCTTCTCTGAGAACTCAGTCACTGTTCCTGGAAAATGATTCAAAAGCACAAACTTTTACAGGGCAACTGTAGGAGTATTCTTGTGCATGTGTGTTTAGTACTAACTGCTGATGTTGCTCAAACGATACACTAATCCCTGTAGCCTCACAATTTATTGTCCTGTGATCAATTTAAAAAAAGGCATCTTTTAAAAGAATCGCTTTTAAGTGTTTATCCTAACATTCAAGAAAGAGTAGACATTCACTTCCAAAGAGGACCATAAATCCTAAAAGGCCTGAAGGCGCTTAAAACATAGTGAACTTGGCCGGGCGCGGTGGCTCACGCCTGTAATCCTAGTACTCTGGGAGGCCGAGGCAGGCAGATCACCTGAGATCGGGAGTTCAAGACCAGTCTGACCAACATGGTGAAACCCCATCTTTAAAAATAAAATAAAATAAAATAAAATAAACATAGTGAACTGTGTTAAAGGTAATAGGATAAATCATTAATATGTTCAAAAAATGTAAAATGGTACATACAACCAGCTCATCTGAGTAAGGAAAATATGGCTAAAGTACCTCTAAAAGTATCTACTTATTAAGTATGCTGACCAGACTTTGCACATTGTACTTTGACCATCGAAAGTATTATTTGAAAAAAAAAAATCTTTATTATAAAATCATATCTTTAATTAGGAAGTAAAACCTGAATCTGTATTTGCTAGCAATACCAACTTTAAATATTCTAGTTGCAGCTGACAACAGAAATTCTAACATGCATGTGTGTTGCATAATAGCCTCTTTTTCCTACTTGGGTCTGTTTGTAGAGACAGAAAGGTCTCCTGACCAATTGTGCAATAGAGCCCCAAGATACTTAAGCCTGGAACTACTCTCTCAGACTTAACAAAATGTTCATCTTAATTTCTATCAGATTGAGACAAAACATTCACTCTTTAGATAACAGAGAGACTAAAGAACATGTCATAATAGTCAAATTTGTGCCAATGTTAAATCTATCCTTTTAAAAACATTTATTATTGTGAGGCCACAGGGATTAGTGTAACATTTGAACAGCATCAGCAGTTAGTACTTAGCACACATGCACAAGAATACTCCTACAGTTGCCCTGCAACCAAGAAGCTAATAAAAGAGCCAGACTTTTCAAATGAACACCTCAATGATGACACCATTAGTTATTCAGCAAAAATAAACGCTTCATTAACTTGTCTTCCCCCAGTTAAAGGACAGGATGAATTTACCTCAAAGCAGCAACTCAGATATCAACATTTCCCTACATTTTAGAGCTCACTATGCAGAAATACCAGAAATAAGGTGACTTAAAAACTCCACTTGTCTGGAAAATACACTGGCCTTTGGAATCCAGAAACCCATTTGGTCCAGACTGCCAATTACCTAACCTTCCTTTTCTACTTGAACTCTCTGAATCTTGACTGAACTCATTTGTGAGACAAAAGAGGAGATCTCCAAAGTTTTTTCATCTCAAATATATTACGATTTACAGTCAACAATAATTTTCCAATTCCTACCAGACACCCAAAATACTGAGGTCATGCTGAGGTATTTGCCTGAGACTCTCATAAATGACTCAATAAGGGATCAACTCCATTAGTGCAGTGGCCAGCATTGAGTGATCAGCAAAAATATCTCATTAAGTATTTCTATGATGCCACGGCTGTGCTTTTTAACATAGTGTAACTTGAATGTATGCCTCTTATCTACTAAAAAAATTACAAATTATTTGTGTGAAACAATCATCCTTTTCTGTGTTTCACTTGAGTCCATGGAGGCTCAATGTGTTAAACAATGAATGCTGAACACTGTTTCTGAAATGCTGTTTTTCCCTATCTTTCCCCTGCCGGGCCCTAGATAATCAAACAAGTGTTCAATGATCTGCCTCAGGCTTAGGCCCCTCCCCCTATTTAATAACTCTTCATGGAATAATGAAAATAACCCACAGAATTGCAGCCAAATAGCTTGCCAAACAACAGGCTGTCAAAAATCCCTTTGCTTTGCCCCGGACTCAAATTGCAT